CCCGGGTTTCGATTAGCAAGAGGAATCAGGAGAGGGATCAAAGTGGAGATGGGGAAGGGAAGAGAGAGAGAGAGAGAGAGAGAGAGAGAGGAAGAAAATCTAGAATAGAGTGGTAATGGTGGTAGTAAGTAGTAAGTACCAAGTAGTTAGTTAGTTAGTAGTAAGTAGTAGTAGTAGTCATAGTAGTAGGAGGGAGGGAGGGAGGGAGCAGTACTTTTCGCTCCGACGGGCCTCCACCGTATGATATCAGCAGAATCCTACTATACTACACAGTAATTTAGTTAGTAGAGTAGTAGTAGTAGTATAGTAGTAAGTAATGATGGGAAAAAAAGACCAGGAAAAGAATGCGGCATTTTCCCTTCAAGTCTTCCCGACGAGCTGCCCCATCGGTGCTAGTCTTCTACACCCTAATGGATGGTCCAGCAAATTCCCGCATACAAAAAATACCACTTTTTTGCTCGCCAGTGCCACCTTCTGGCTCCGTCTCAATTTTCTGCCTTTCTTTTTTTCTCATGCTCGGCTAGACTCATTTATTATTTTTTTTTCTTGTCTTTTGTTATCGCCAAAATTGCTGCTGCCTGAAAGTTCAGGGACTTGGGACTGAACAGGAAGAAACCCTAGTCAGTTGCCTCATAACCTGCAGGACAGACAACAATAACCCCGGAAGGAAGACAACCCTACTACTTACAGTACCTTCAGACTACGTACTACTACTACTAGTACCTACTAGTTACTACTTTACTGGTCTTTACCTCGGGATCACAGCATATGACACAAGCTACAACTCTCTTATCCTCCGACACCACACACACACACACCAGCCACCCACAACTAGTAGGAGGAGGTTAACTAATCTGGAGGTGGCTGAGCAACAAGCTGAGCTTACTTCCATCAAGATTAGTCGCAACTCGCTAACTCTCGCACGAGCCAACTGCGTGATTATTCTTCTCTCTCTATTGGCTGCGCGGATCACGGTTTGGCGGTTTTTGGCTGCAGGATTCTTCCAGCTGTCTGCAGCTGCAAGCTGTCTTTCCCTCTCGCCGTCCGAGCTTTTCTCTTTCCTGCACGTCTGGTCTGTCACTCGGTCACCCATCCATCCATCCATCCCCGGCTAAATCATGAAAAATTTTTCTTTTCCACCCGCGGCTGGCTGGAGGGACATCACTTAGTTGTAGTAGTAGTCTGGGCTACAAGTTAGTCTAGCACTGTAAAGTAGCTTTGGCTGTAGATCCTCTTTCCGATCGGAATCTCGGAATCCCTATTTGGGTGTTTCCTGGGTTTTGATCAAAGCCTTTTATTTTTATCAGAAATAGAGCCTTGTTCCCTCTTCTTTCCTACCTACTTCCTTTTTGCCTCCTCAATTCTGATGCATTCCAGCCAGCCTGCTGTGCTGTACTGTGACTAACAGGAGACCTCTGGTTAACTGCAATCATCTTTCTTTCTTTTTTCTATTGTGCCCGTCTCTTCAGCCCACAAGTTGTAGTGTCTGCTCCGTGAAGCCATACAGAGCATTGCAAAGGACACTATCACGACACACCTCGTGGATTGAGAAGGAGGAAATGGGTAGATAACACTGTCACGCCATATTCACAACGCGCACTTCAACAACCCTATGTACAAATATCTCAATCCATCCACTTACAACCCCCTCCTAGCTCTGCTAGCTCTGCTGCACGGTGTACTGTGCACTGAGCATGTCTCGCCTCACATCTACCTACTATCACCTAGGAATATGCCGGGGGATATAGACAGTAGCCAAAAGCAACAACAACGGCCAAAACCAAAATAAGCAAAAACTTCAAGCAAACCAGCTCCCAGGCTTCCCGATGCAAGGTAACAATGACAATCAAATCAGAACAACGTATGTGAAAGGTGCAGCCTGCCTCATCCCCTGCAGGTAGTGGGAATATCATCACACCTCCTGGATGTAGTTCGCCGGTACGCTCTTCGTCACCCCGCCCCGCTCAACATCGGCCCATCCATCTCCGCCATCCCGGTTCACCAGCACGAACCGGTCGCCCTCCACCATACTCCATTCCATGTCACTGCGCGCGTCGTAGTCATACAGCGCTTCCACATATTGGAGTTTCTTGGCGCCCCGGCGCGGTGCTACAGCTGGTCCGACCCGTTTGTTGCCCCCGGCGCCACCGCCGCCCGTCAGCGATGCCGACGAGTTCGAGTATGTTGAGCCCGGCCGGTCAGCTGTGAATCCGGGGCTGGCAGACGGCACGGGTGAAGGTGCGGGGCCAGCTTCCACATAGGAAGCAGGAACAAGTCCTTCTTCGCCGCCGGACCGCACGCGCATCCAGCCGGATCCATCTATAATGTATTGGTTAGTGTTGTCAGGGTAAGAGGTGGGAAATGGCGTACCATCTGGCTCCAGGATGACGATATCGTCCCCTTCTTGGACAGTCACCTCGTCAGCTCCGCCCGCTTGGTATGCATACAGCATCTTGCCGTGCTGCTCGTTGGTCTTGGAGCTTAGCGCCGGCGCCGCGTCATTGGCGGGCGGACCACTGATGTACTGTGCCGGTGGCGGTGCAAGAATGCGGTTCTTCCGTGCTGGGGCGGGCTTGGTCTCTGCGACGGGTGTGGGAAGCTCCGTTGCGGTCGTGGTGGGAGATTGTGCGGCATTGGACATAGATCGGTTGGCGCTGACGGCGTAGCCGGAGCTCAGCGAGTTCATTGTGTCTTTGCGGGTGAGTGATGGCGCAGTGGATGAGCTCGTGGTTGGTTCTAGATCAAGTGGTGCTGGGGCGGCGTTGGCTTGTTCTTGTCGCTCCACTTTCAGCTTCTTCTTTTCTTCCTTGGTCTGCTCACCCGGGCACTCAGCCGGTACCTTCATTTCACATTTACTATGACAGGTGTATCCGCAGTCCCGGCAGTCGAAGCCTTTGGCGGATAATCCCCATATCCTTTCTCCACACAGGTCGCAGTTGGTCGGTATCTTGAACGTCTGCGACTTGAAATTGTGGTTGCGCGCTCCGAGCGAAAGATCGCCCACCGCCGACATGATGGTAGAGGTTTCCACCTCGGCAGTCAGGCGCCGGCGGTCAACTTCATGCAGGGACTCCTGCTGGAAGAATATAGATCGGACAACTTCCACCTCGTTGCGCTTGTCCGTGCCCTGTCGGATGCTTTCCCGGACCCGTCTGGCGGTTTCCACCTCGCGTCGCTTCGTATCCGCCTCGACTCTCAGCTCTCGCACCTGTGTCTTGCTCTTGCTGAGAAGGTTGCGCAAAAAGACCTTTGCCGCCTCGTCGGTGATGAGAGCGTCGTCGTCGTGCCAGATTGGGCTCGGCTCGAAGGTCATGTTGGCCGGCTCCTGTGATTGTGTGACGTTGTGGCGCAGGAACATGAGCGAGTCCAGGTGTGGAACGTTGCGCGGAATCTCATTGATGAGGTTTGCCATGTGGTCCATACTCTTCGACAGGTAATTCTTCTCGAGTTGTGCGGCCAATGTCCAGAGCGAGTTCAGCTTCGTTACACGTGTTTCGTTAAGGTCTTGCAGGCCCTACCCGGGATATTAGCAGATTGGATCCAACCAGTCAAAGCACACCTACATCAAGTAGCTCCGGCACATATTCGTGGTAGAATCGCTCTTTCATCTTGTTCGTCACATTGATACTGATGAGATATGTGTTCTGCAATGCCGTCAGCAATAGTCTTTGGCATCATCGTAGTAACCGACCTTAACGTTGTTCATCTCCAATATCTGCTGTTGGTACGCTGCCTGGGCCTTAGGCTTACTGTGGTCGAACGAAGATTCCATCTTCTTCCGCCTTGCCTCCACTTCCTGGCATGCGCCATCATATTTACCCTTCGCCTTCTTCAGGTCACTGTACGAGGAGTCCTTCTCCTTCTCGAGCTTGGCATGAAAATCAACATGGCACTTCCTGAGCTCTTCGTACTGGTTCGCAGCTTGTTTGAGCGGCTCTGCGACATGGACAAGCAGGTCGTTACCGAAGTGATCCCGTTCAGTGGCATGCGATTCCACGGCGCTCAATTGTGTCGACCACGTGGTAAGTGAGGCACTTTCGAGGGAGCCAGGGGTCATGCTAGGGGTGTCTCCGACACTCAAACTGCTGATTTTCTTGGCTTTGCGGTCGTAGTACTTCTTGCATAGCGCCGTTAACTTTGCTGCATACTCCTTCTCGATTGCGCTGCGCTCGCGGTAAAACTGCTGTATCTCATCCAACCATCCGATACCATTTGACACCTAGCAAGCATTCTCTTAGTTCTCGATGAATATGGTTTCGGCGATCACCCGGGGTATCCAGCTGGAAGGGATAAGGAGGCGGGAAGAGGGAAGTAAGTGCCTACCCAATTGTTGACCGGTTTAAACGAATCCTGCCAAGGTCCTCGATTAGCTGGAATCTGGGGTTGATGCGACAGAGTTATGTCATACCTTCAACTCCGCCCCAAAGTGAGGGGCGACATCCGGGGTAGCCATTCTGATAGATGGTCAGCTTGTCGGAGGTCACGCCGCAGGGAGACAGGCGGAGATGCGACATGGAAGACTCAAAAATGCGTCGGCCTAGCGAGTCGCGAGTCCAACCAGGTGAGCGAATGGAGGAGCCTAACTTACCTTCCACGTGCGGAACAGCCGTTGGCGACCGTGTGTGCTCCGTAGTCCGTACAACCGGATGGTGGGTAGGGGGGGATCGGGGAACCAGGAATCGTTGCCAGGCGCGGCTGGAATGGCTGGAGAGCGATGAGGAAGCGGGGAAGATGACCATACAGGACAGCCTCTGGTTGCCTGTCAGGCCACGTTGAGCCTCCATTGCCTGGCCGGAGGCTCCCTACGTCATCCCCATTTGGGCTGGCAACCGTATGGTATCGTAAGTGGTATCCCTCAACTCTTACCGCCTCCCGATATGGTTAGACTGCAGCGACTCGGCTGCTGGCCCAAACAGGCCTAGTGTCGATTCAAGGCGGTCAGCCGCGTTGGTTTTTCGACCGTCATGGTGATGGAGCTTCCCTTAGCCATTGCTGCTTTGCCTGGGTGTTGAACGATCAATCGCCCTTCCTCTTCCATCATCTAACTGGGCACCGTGGTGAACGTGTCATTCTTTTCTCGTGTGCGCTTCATTTGCTGTGTTGAGCGGTTGATTCCTGTTCCAGCGCGCTGTTGATTACCCCGCCATCTCCCCTCCGTCTGGGAAACACGAACAACAACTTGCATCCGAAACATCTTCCCTAACCCCTTACCTATACGTCCTTCACAGTTCTTCTATACATCATCAGGATGGCGTCTGAAGAACCCGCTGCCGGTTCTCTTGCGGACCGCATCACCAAGCCCGAGGAATCTGCCCCTGCCGGTACGATACTAGTCTACTTCTATGCCACCGCTCGTTTCACTTCCATGTCACTCTTTTACCAGACCCTGTTGGACCCTGACTTATGCGATCATTTCTTGCAGAAGCTCCCGAACAGACCGAAGATATCCCTCAGACCGATGGCGCCGCCGCCCAGCAGGGTGGCTCCGACCTTCATGAGCCTGACTACACCGTTGAAGTCAAGCTCAGTGATCTCCAGGCCGACCCGAATAACCCCCTTTTCTCCGTGAAGAACTTTGAAGATCTCGGCCTGTGCGTGCACTTGTGAATTCCGGTTGTTATACTGCTACACTACGGTGCTAACCCGTCATGAAATCAGGGACCCTCGTATTCTCCAGGGATTGTCGGCAATGAACTTCCGGAAACCCTCCAAGATCCAAGAGAGAGCCCTCCCGCTGCTACTTGGCAACCCCGCGAAGAATCTGGTCGGTCAGTCCCAGTCCGGTACTGGAAAGACTGCGGCATTCGTCCTGAACATCCTCAGTCGCTTGGACCTCTCGTCGGAGCAGTTGCAAAAGACCCCCCAGGCGTTGATCCTGGCCCCCACACGAGAGCTGGCTCGTCAGATTGTTGGTGTCATCCAAGTGATGGGCCAGTTCCTTGATGGTCTTGTTATTGGTACCGCCGTGCCGGCAGATACCGGCGCTCGTCCCGCCAAAATGGAGTGCTCCGTCGTTGTGGGTACCCCTGGTACTGTTATGGACATGATTAAGAGGCGCATCATGGTTGCGAACAAGCTCCGCGTGCTTGTTCTGGATGAGGCCGACAACATGCTCGACCAGCAGGGTCTGGGCGACCAATGTATCCGTGTGAAGGCGTAGGTCGCTCTATTCTCACTTTTCGCGCCGCGCGTGCTAACGTCTATCCAGTCTTTTGCCTAGAGATATTCAGGTCGTGCTCTTTTCGGCTACCTTCCCTGCTCACGTGCACGAATATGCGTCCAAGTTCGCCCCCCAGGCCAACGAGATCACCCTCCAGCATGAGGAGTTGACGGTCGAGGGTATTAAGCAGCTGTACCTGGACTGCTCGAATGACGAGGACAAGTACCAGACTCTTGTCAACCTCTACGGTCTGCTCACCGTCGGCTCGTCTATCATTTTCGTCAAGGTTTGTACACATCCTCTACGACATTGCAGTTACTCTAACGCAGGATTAGACCCGTGCCTCCGCCCAGGAGATCGAAAAGCGCATGGTTGCCGAGGGTCACACCGTGGCCTCCCTGACCGGTGGCATTGAAGGATCGCAGCGTGACGCAGTCATTGACCAATTCCGTGCCGGACACGCGAAGGTCTTGATTACGACCAACGTGCTTGCCCGTGGTATCGATGTCTCCACTGTGTCCATGGTTATCAACTACGTAAGCCGTGTCCTTTTCATGATGATTATGAGTTTCAATGCTAATGATGCATTTTTTTCATGGATAGGATATCCCTGAGCTGCACCAACCCGGCGCCCGTCAACGACAGGCCGACTTCCAGACCTACCTGCACCGTATCGGCCGTACGGGACGTTTCGGTCGCGTGGGTGTATCCATCTCTTTTGTGTCCAACCGGGAAGAGTGGGAGATGCTCAACCAGATTCAGCGATACTTCAACACTAACATCCAGCGGATTGACACCAAGGACTGGGACGAGGTGGAAGACATTATCAAGAAGACGATCAAGAGCTCCCGTGCTCAGCTCGGCTTCCGGTAGAGCGTGTCCGACAAACCCTCGACGCGACGCCGCTGTCCGATGGCGGCTGCTCAACCGGGTTGATTGGAAGAGATTGGAATAAGATATGACTATGGTGCAATGTGGATTGCTTATGAAGAGTTATGAGGATTTCTTTGTGTTCAAATGAAAGTCAGATTAATAGATACCAGTTGCTTGCTCAACCTATGGGTGTTTTGGTGGTTTCGGGTCATCATTTCCAGCCAACCATGACATAGTTCCTTACCGGCAGCCGGACAGGGGAGGGCCATGTGACCCGGGGTAGTCTCGTGATTCGGTGTCCCAACGATGCCACAAATCGGCTAAGCATGGAAAGAGAACCCGTAGCCATGGAATCGGTCGCTCATTCATTGGAGATGATGGCCGAAGTACTAGTAACTCAGCTCCCTTGTAGCATTTTCGCCGCGCTTCCCCGCGGAACTCCAACCGGACCGGAATGAGGGGTCGATCATCCGCATCGTCCTCGGCGTCATCGTGCATCCGCAACTTGACCGCGAGTCGGATTGCAAAACAAAATCACCGCCGATCTGGCTGTTGTTCCATTATGATCTCGTTTTAATTAACAAGACAACCGGTATGATAGACCAGACAACCATGGTTCAGTCTACGCCTGACCCAAACCGGGGATAGATAAGGCCAGGCCAGGGGGCGTGAACGATAAGGAGGCAGTGCGGAGAATGAGGGAGAGATGAGGCCGTAAGATTGAGATTCGGGCCCAAGTCACATGCAGCTGGCATGCAGCGACACCCATCGTCGCCCTGTTTTCTTGTCCCCTCCTCTCCTCATTTCATCTCGCTCTTCTCTCTTCCCTTCTTCATCCTCTTCATTCCATCTCCCCTGTTTCTTCACAGCCTATTCCTTCCCCGCATCGTCATCCAGCACCATGTTGGAGACCGATACCTCCATCAAGCCCACGTCCGACGAGGCGACGGCCCAGTCACCAACTACCCCAACCTCGCCGACTCACTCCAACTCTCGTTACAGTACGCATATTGTGGTAAGTTTGTGGAGCAGTGTCCGACTGGTGTGAGCAAGAATCCTTACCTTGTGAGCTAGTTGACCACCTACCCCGGCCAAAGTGGCATCGACCCCATCCCGCTCGAATGGGGCGCCCCAGATGCTAAATCCCGCGGGCCCGTCGTTGTCTCCCGTAGCTCCGCATTGCTCAAGCGACGGAATGCCATGGGCGCTCATGGGGGCAGTTACAGCATCTACAACGCCCTGGCCATTGCCGCCGGTGATTTGGAACCGAACTTCCGTCCTGACCTCAGCAACAGTCAACCTACATTCAACTTCCCATGGCAGCCTGCCTGGGCCGACAAGACCAAGATTGTGTCTATGGACCCGTGGGGACATGACATTGTTAACCAGTTCCGGGACGAGCTAAGCAAGGGCTGGGATATCCGCCCCACAATGGCGGTGACCCGCGCGAACATGAACTTTGCGGAGATCGCCGACGCGGTGAAGGAGGGGAAACTTGATGTGGACGGTTCCATTGTGGTTGACTCCTCCGGTGAAGTGCGCGTTACCAAAGTCGCCGTCGAACCGGTCTGGTATCTGCCTGGTGTTGCAGAGCGGTTCGGAGTTGATGAGGGGACGCTGCGACGGACACTATTCGAGCATACGGGCGGAAGTTATCCCGAGCTGATCACCCGGCCCGATCTGAAGATCTTCCTCCCTCCCATTGGAGGTCTGACGGTGTATATCTTTGGGCCACCGGAGCGGGTGTCCGACGAGAATGTGAAACTAGCATTGCGTATTCACGACGAATGCAACGGCAGTGATGTCTTCCAATCGGATATTTGCACATGCCGACCGTACCTTGCATTTGGTATTCGGGAGGCGATTCGCGAAGCCCAGAGTGGAGGCAGTGGAGTGGTCATCTACTTCCGAAAGGAAGGTCGGGCCTTGGGTGAGGTGATCAAGTACTTGGTCTACAATGCCCGCAAGCGCGGCGGCGATACTGCCGACAAGTACTTTACGCGGACGGAGAACATTGCCGGTGTTAGAGATGTAAGCTGTTTACCAAACCTCAAAATAGAACATCAGACTAACTTTGATTCTAGATGCGCTTCCAAGCGCTGATGCCCGACATCCTGCACTGGCTCGGCATCAAGAAGATCGACCGCATGCTGTCCATGTCCAACATGAAGCACGACGCCATCGTCGAGTCGGGGATCAAGATCCTAGAGCGTATCCCGATCCCAGACGAGATGATCCCTCAGGATTCGCGCGTCGAAATCGATGCGAAGATTAATGCTGGCTACTTCACAACCGGGAAGAATGTCACAGCCGAAGACTTGGCTGCTGTGCGCGGACGCGGATGGGAGAAGTGGGAGGACATCACGGTATGTTCTGTCATAAGAATGGATCTTGATGAGGACCTTGCTGACAAGTCTAGCACTGATTGGGGTTTCAACCTACATTTACGACGAACGATGAAATTTCGGGTGCATCATTACAGTTTGGCTGGTGACGACGCATGGCTTGCGCAGCATTTCGGGTTATGGAGCGACATTTGCCTGCATGAGCTATTAAATATAAGAGATGTAGAAAATAAAAAAACGGTCAAAATGGGCAACCATCTATTGCCTGGTAAATCGGAAAGGGTATATAGTATCAACTATCGTAGTATACACCACCCACAGGTCCAACTGACCTCCTCATTCTATACCATCACTCTCATTTGAGATCCTTGTGCCTCCTTCATTACCCACACCGCCATGATCCCCCTTCAACGCCACCCCGGATAACATATGGAATTTCTTCTTCCGTTTATCTTGTAGTCATAATCAGCACATTATACCCTCCCAAGACTATAATGATAGACATACCAGCGAAAACCTCTCTCACACCCCGCGTCACAACCGTAACGCACGCAGCCAGGATCCCCACATTTACCTCGACCACAGCCCACAAAGCTAGTAAACTGAACTCATGCATAAAGGATAATCTGCTCTCTTCCTCATTGCTGTTGTATGACACGATGATAGTGAAATATGTCCTTGCGATGGAAATGGCGGTTACGCTATGCATCACTTTCATTAGTACACACACCCGGAAGAGGAGACTAGTATGAGAGGAGAGGAACAAGACATACTAGACACCAACAATATAAAGCCCGATCATCCCTATCTTCCTTCCTATCCACATGTTCAACCCTGCAATGACAGGTATAGGGATAAGGGTTAATAATATATTAATGATTAGATCCGTGATTGTATACACCGTTAGTAGAATACCCCTATTTGTCCTTGCGCAGGTGTAACTGTCATTGACATCCTCTATCGATGACCATATACGGGAAACATGGCCCCCGCACTGGAGGATCGTCGCGAGGATGAATGCAACCATCCATGCCGTCACGGCACCAATGAGGAAAGTACACAGTCGATGAACAGGATGGGTACTGAAGACGCGTTTCCACAGAGTAAAGAAACTCAGTTTGGTCAGGCCGAGGGCGATGATCTCGATGACTTGAAGGGCGAGTTGATATTTCCTTGCGGCAACTTCAGTTTGAGCTGTGGGGTGGGTGTAATTTGCGATGATGTCGCGGGATGTTCCTGCTAGTAGAGTACTATTGTAGACCAGTGTGAATATCTGTTTAGGATGTTAGATACTAGTACTTTGATGCAACATAGCTAGTTGGCTATTGGGCAGTGCCGGGCTTACTTACCAGTGCAGCAAGCGCTAGCCAGTCATCTGCGAGTAGGTCCAGTCGCGCTAGTCTTCGCGCGTAGAATCGAAGCACCACGACCGATAGAGAAGTCACTGTAAATACTGAGGTTACTGCCAGGAGTGCAGTGGAACTCGGGGCGCTGGGAGTTGTCCAGTCGTGAGCCATGGCCGGCTGATGTGTCGTATCCTGGCGGGAGCCAGGATTGGTGAGGTAGGGTTTGGTGTCTTTGGAGACGGACGGAAAATCCCTAGGCTATCATGGTAGTTGGTATTTCGATGACTACCTTTCCATGTGAGTATCTACCGTGTGCTTGAAGGTGACATGGTAAGATGAGGACATTTGGGGAGAGCTGGGTGCAGGATGACGGCGCTAAGACTAGGCTGAGGCGCTGCTGTGGCTGATGTTGGACCCTTGCAGTTGGGGGCCATTTCTGCATCATTCTTTTTAAACATTTCAAGTATAGTGTGTTTAGCAGATGGTGGTTAGATCATGCTATCTGGGATTTAAGTTCCATCCCATGCATTAGTATCTGGAAAATGTGAATGTGGAGGGTGCAAGTACCACTGTTCCCAGGCTATATATTTAACAGTAGTTGCCACCACCGTTGCAGCCACTACAACGCAACTCAGTGGAGTCCGGCGCATATACTAACCATGTTTAAATCCAAACAACCGCCTCATCAACCCCTCAGTTGTAACCCCCGCACCCACTCCGATATCGTTGAGTGTCAAATAGCATTCGGACTGATTGCCCGCTGATAAGTGTTCGGGAAGACATCCCGATCGGATTCTTTTCCGTCCCCGCAGCCTTCAAGTATATAATCAGCTCTCCTGCAGCACGTCATTGACAGAATACTCACTCAATTGATACCCTTATTTCCTACACACAAATCACATAGAATCCATAGTCTCAGTATCACCATGGGCTCCTCCGTCACCGTCACCCCTCAACCTCGCATCCCCAAAGCCGGCGTCTGGTGCCCCGCCGTGACCTTCTTCGACCACAGCACCGACACCCTCGACCTCGATGCCCAAAAGAAATACTACCAGTACCTCTCCACGACCGGCCTCGCCGGTTTGGTCATCCTCGGTACCAACTCCGAAGCTTTCCTCCTCACCCGCGAAGAACGCGCCCAACTCATCGCCACGGCCCGTGCCGCCGTTGGCCCCGACTACCCCCTCATGGCCGGCTGCGGTGCCCACTCCACCAAGCAAGTCCTCGAATTGGCCGAAGACGCTGCCGCCGCGGGCGCAAACTACATCCTCGTCCTGCCCCCGGCTTACTTCGGCAAAGCCACGACCCCGGCCGTCGTGAAGCGCTTCTTTGCTGATGTCGCGCGCAAGAGTCCCCTGCCCGTCGTGGTGTACAACTTCCCAGGTGTTTGTAACGGTGTGGATCTGGACTCGGAAACCATCACCGCCATCGTGCGCGAGTCGGCGGCATCGAGCGCCAATGGGGTCTCGAATGTGGTGGGTGTCAAGTTGACATGTGGATCGGTGGGCAAGATTACCAGGCTGGCGGCCACCTTCTCCAAGGAGGAGTTTGCCATCTATGGTGGTCAGTCAGATTTCTTGATCGGTGGTCTGGCTGCGGGCTCTGCTGGCTGCATTGCTGCTTTTGCCAATGTGTTTCCGAAGACGGCGTCGAAGATCTATGATCTCTATGTTGCTGGTAAGATTCAGGAGGCAGTTGAGCTGCAGCGCCAGGCAGCGCTGGCGGAGAGCCCCTGCAAGAGTGGAATTGCTGCCACCAAGTACGCAGCTGCGATCTTCTCGGCTCGTGCGGCAGGTATTGAGGGGGCAGAGGAGAAGCTGAAGCCCCGGACACCGTATGAGGAGCCGGCGGAGGGTGCGAAGAAGGGAGTACAAGACTTAATGAGCGCGGTGGCAAAGGTTGAAGGAAATATATAAATGCACATGTTCTACTATGAAGATATGAATATGCGATGCGAACCATAAAACATTTCATCCCAGATTTGGACCGACCAATCACCTGATCCGTTTGCTTCTGTTGTCTGCACAGCTTTACTCGTCTCTACTACCTTCCCAAATACATCCTAATTCTACAATATCTTCTCAAGAATGTCACCGATCATTGTTGTACCCTCAAGCACACGCCATGTCTTCCATACCCAAATTTCACCCCTCGAGTTCTTTCACATTTATAGATCGTGTAATAGATGTGGATGGTTTCACTGCGCTAGGTCGGAGTTCTAGGGTCTGGTGGCTTGTGTTGAAAAAGCGGAGAAGGGGAATGAGTTCAAAAGAGTGGGAATAGGTTATAAAAGTAGCAAGAATTTCAAGCGTGATTGTGACATTTTTGATACTGCGGAGTGGAGTACAGTGCATCTAGTATAGAACGGGAAAGACAGTTTCAAGTTACCGCATTGAACGGTCATTGCTATATACTAATATATACCTACAACTGAATATATTGGGAATTGATTCTATCTGAGATGTGCAGCTAGACTGACCTCTACACAAGTCTATATATCAATGATATCGCTCTAGCCAACCTTGTCACCATGTTCTATTACTGTACAGATCTCGATCTCTTCACTGCCTCCCGAACATCCTGAAGTGCCCTCTTCTGCCGACCGTCTTCATCAAAGTTCCCCTCCTCCAGCCACTGCTCCAGCGCCTCCTTAGCCCCCTCCTCCCAGTCATCACGCACCATCGCAAACCAAGCGGTATCCCGACTTCGACCCTTAATCACCATATGCTGCCGGAAGGTACCCTCATAGACGAACCCCAACCGCCGGGCCGCCTTCTGGGAAGTGGCATTCAGCGCGTTGCATTTCCACTCCACGCGGCGATAGCGCAGCTCCTCAAAGGCATACCGCGCTAGCAGATAGATCGTCTCAGTGGCAGCCGCAGTGCGTTGCAGCACCGGAGAGAACATGACACTCCCGATCTCCACGGTCCAATGTGCCGGGGTGATTCGCATGAGCGAGAGGAATCCGATGGCTTTGCCGCAGCTGGGGCTGAAGACACGCTCGTCGATCACGGCGAAGTAGAACGGGTCGGTGGAATTGGATCGGGAGGTGATGGATTGCTCGAAAGCTGAGCGCTCGGGGAAGGGTCCGTCTAGCATGTAGTCCCATAGCCAGGCGAGCGTTGGGTCGGCTCCGCCGATTAGGTCCCAGAGATCGTTGGCATGTTTGGGTTGGAGCTTCTCTAGCTGGATGTATCGCCCGCGGAGGATGGTTGGCGATGGCAGCTGGGCGCGGATCAGATCGACTGGCGGTCCAAGCGGTCGCGCGGCTGTCATGTTGTAGGACCGTAGCTTTCACGGTTTCTGGTCGGGTAGAAGCGATGTCTATGTCATGATGGGATTAAGAGCATGTGTTGGAGGATTTATTTTATCTGTACTAGTCATCTTATTGAACAGTCATACATCCTTGTCAGGTCTCTCCTCCAGAAGTGAGAGTCGTTCTGATTCGGTGGAAACACCGACAATCCGCGGTTGACGTCGAAATTGATTGGTCTGCATTATCCGCGCGGGCCCATTGGGCGGCTTGGCGTTTACACCCGGTTCCTCAGGCATGACTCATCCTGTTTCTTGCCTGCAATACAAGGCATTCATTTCGGAATATACTGGCAGCATTCTCCGGGATTCGTTCAGAAGCGTTTGGATGTCTCAAAATCGAACGACTAGGAAGCTGAGTGCAGTAGGATGATGTGGTGAACTATTCTACTAGTCTATCCAGGCTGCAACTTCACTGCTATGTGGTATGTTGAGCTCGCTTGGTCCTTGGGACCTATATTTGACCCCATTTCTGCTCAGGCATCAACTATATCCCGGGAGTGGCCAAACATCTATCGGCAGGGCCTCACCCACATAGGACAACCATGCCAGCGTCGATGATAGTACTGCTGCTTGTCGACAGTGCGACAGTTATCATGTAGATGGCTTTATTACCCACGAATATCCGTTGGCATAGAATCCGGCGAGGCATCTGTAACCTCCCATGTCTTAGATGAACATTCCCGGATTCAAACAAGCCAACAGCAGTCAACAAAGTGTCGGGGGCAATGTGCAGATAGCACCAACGGAGAAGAACGCGTTTTCACAAGTCTGAGGCAAGATCATGACTTCTGTCGTTGTCATCCCAACATTCACATGTGGATCTCGGCGCAGGCATGTCTCATGACTCGCAGTTGTATCCATACACAAATCCCACTGTAGCAGGTTTTCCGCTGTAACCGAACAGCCACCGGGATGGAATTGGTCGCGATGGCGCCTCCTGTAACTTGCACCTGTGCTTAGAGCATGGCCATAGACCCAACCCAATGGAGTTTTGCTTCGTATCGGCCCCTGCAGACAGCCAACTCAGTCCGCACGTTTCGAAGTTAGTACTCTCCTGGTCTCAAGCAGCTATGGTGTTGTTGCCAGCCCTCTCCCCTGTGAGACCCAGAGGATGGACGCTCTCATCAGAAACACATCTGTCTGTGACGAAGACAGAGTGAGGAAACCAACGAGGAGATTCTTCAGATGTTATTTGATTCAGTTGGCCATGACTTTAGTAAGACAGAAGATTCTCCAACGCGTGGGGAATGTGGTTCTCGACGGGGTCCAGTTCTCACGGTCGGGCGACTGGCGTTGGTTTCGGGCTCCATCACGTCTTATGAGGCGCTTTTCTTAGCAACGAGCGGTCGGACGAACTGCCCACGACGAGTAAGAAAAATAGAGGTTCCGTTGTAAATAAATTGAAGGGTGGAAACCCATCTATATGGCGTGGTGGCTGTCAGGGGCAGCCGACAATGGGCCAGTGGGACATTCCACCGCTGGGGTCCACCCACGGCTTTCACTGGCAGACAAGCATTCCTGGTGGTTTCAGCACCCCAAGACATTCGGATTCCGTTGCCGTCTGGAGTCCTGCCAAGCTGTCAGCTGGCTATACTCATAACCGCCGAGGTGAGAGGGGGTTATGTTTCGACGAAGAGAAGACAAAGATGCAGAAGTCTTCAGGTGTGGTTTAAGTTGGCGCTGACTGGGATCGTCGATTAGACTCATCCCTGTTGGACCCTATCAGCTAACAAAGCTGATTAGCGCGCATTTCTGTTCCGCACAGGCAGCCATTGCATTGTTAATAAACCCTATACTAGGTATTGTTAACCCTGAATTTCTACTCAATCTTCGATTCCCTTGGACTGCTCTTGGTTGAGGGGATTATTACGAGATGATTTGTCAAGCAGAACAAGAATAGACAAGAGGCAACCAGCCCTACCCGTGACCCACGCCTCACCCCCAGCCAATTTGATCGTGAAACCAAGACCGTTAAGCCAGGCGCCGGTCGCTTTCTTCGCCCGATTGATTGGACGAGGGATCACCGGCTGGCTTGGGCCTCGGTAGCCACTCTTCTTGCGCGTCTCGAGTTGATGAGGCAGTAGAGCTGTCGACTGCCCGCCACTGACTCGTCTCGGCACTCTCTCCACCCCTTGCATGCCCCCAGCCTATCATGAAGATTCAGAATTCAGTAAAGGCTTTTACTACTCTGCACCACCCCCGCTGACAGGGTCGGTCATCTGCTTTATCTGGCGCTCTGATGGCATCCCCGACCACCCTGTCATCTCCGCCGATCCGTTTGCGCCTCCATGTAGTTCTTTACTTAGTAGATAGTATTTGACCGGCGAGATCCGCTCGTTCTCCATCCCGGCTATCCTTGCGTCCATTCTTTCTCTTCTCCATTCTTTCGATCGCTAACTTTATTTTTATCTCTGTTTGCAGTCCTTCATTTGTTTTTCTCCTTCTCTTCTTGCCTCCAGCTAGGGTAATTGTTCTCTTTATGCCATTGTGGCTGGTCCACTCAGTTGACTTTTTACTTTGCATCTTTTCGTTCTCTACACGCTGGGATTCGTCCTTTCATTTCTCTTCCCATTCATTGTGACCCTAACACCGATCCACCATGGACTCCGACTTGTGGTATTCCATGCTCAATGACACCCTCTGCTATGCCAATCTCTGGGTGTTGGCCTGTATGATTGTGGTTGTCTTCGCCTGGCAGTCCTCCGGCCGTCTCTCTGCCCACCTGCGTCGCCTCGCGAGTTTTACCGACCACCGCCAGACCTACCATCGCGTTCCCAATTTCCATGTGGCCTGGTTGAAGCGACACCTTTTGGATGCGCCACTGCTGCGCTCTCGCCATAACCAGGAATGGCAGCTCTCCCGCGCCGTCAACATGGGCACCCTGCCCAGCCGCTTCCATACCCTGCTCCTGACCGTCATCGTTGTCATGAATATTGTGCTGTGCACCAACACTGTGCCTTATGGATCGAAGGAATCAACTGTTGCGGAGCTGATTCGTAACCGAACTGGTTACATGGCCACCGCCAATCTGTTCCCCCTACTGGTCATGGCTGGCCGCAACAACCCCCTGATCCCGCTTCTGCGCGTCTCGTTCGACACCTGGAATCTGCTGCACCGGTGGTTGGGCCGCATTGTTGTGTTGGAGGGGCTGGCCCATGTCATTGCCTGGGGTGTGCCCAAAGTGCAAACCTGTAGGTCTATTCCAGCTTCCTAGGTTCTAAAGGCTAATGTTGAGCAGATGGATGGTCAACCGCACTCGGCACCTTGTCGAAACCCTTCATGTTCAATGGTCTCATGGTACGTCCCCACGTCTCCTATTAGAAGGCAATAGCTGATGACTTGCCCTATAGGGGATGGTGGCGATGCTCGCCATCCTGGTTCAATCCCCTTCTCCCATCCGACATGCCTTCTACGAGACTTTCCTCCACCTTCACATTGGGCTGGCCTGTGTGGCTGTGGGATTTCTCTGGCATCATGTCTACCGTTACTCCTGCCGTTACTATCTTTATGCCGCCATAGCCTTCTGGGCGTTTGAAGTGAGTCCCCCTTGCAGCAGATACTTGGTCCGAAATTAGAAACATCGGCTAACTGCGGCTCAGCGACTTGCGCGGTTGCTGATCCTGATCTACCGCAACTATGGCTTTGGTCGCCGCACAACCGCCTATCTGGAGGCGCTGCCTGGCGATGCCGTCCGCGTCACTCTGCAACTCGCTCGTCCCTGGACCTTCTCGCCGGGCCAGTACTGCTTCGTCTACATCCCGAAACTCGGAGCCTGGACCTCGCACCCCTTCTCCATCGCCTGGGGCGAAACCGGCCAGACCTTGCTGGGGTCGTACAGCGAGAAGATGGCCGAGGTGGAGATGGGCAATGACCACGGTCACCCTGGGCTGGAGTCTCGCAAGGTCAATACGGTTTCCCTGCTCGTGCGACGTCGGACCGGATTTACAGACAAGATGTTTACGGAAGCATTTGCTTACGCCCGCACCCGCTTGCCCCCGGACACGATCAGCACTTCGCCGCGGTCAACTACGACGGATATCTCTACGGCAGCCATGCCGGTCACTGCTTTTGTCGAGGGACCCTATGGCAACCTCCACTCGCTTGACTCGTACGGCACTGTTCTCCTCTTTGCCGGTGGAGTGGGCATCACACACTGCCTGCCATTCATCCGCCATTTGGTGCAAGGATACAGCGAGGGCACCGTCGCTGCCCGACGCGTCACCCTCGTATGGGTCATTCAATCCCCAGAGCACTTGGACTGGATCCGACCGTGGATGACCACCATCCTGGGTATGGAAGGCCGGCGCGACGTGCTGCGGATTCAGCTGTTCGTGACGCGTCCGAGAAATCCCCGTGAGATCAGAAGCCCCAGCGCGACCGTGCAGATGTTCCCGGGCCGGCCAGATGTGGGCACGCTCGTCCAGATGGATATTGACAATCAGATCGGGGCCATGGGCGTGATGGTCTGTGGCAATGGTGGCTTGAGCGATGATGTCCGCCGGGCTTGCCGACAGCGCCAGGGCCGTACCCAGTTGGATTATATTGAGGAGAGCTTTACCTGGTGATTCATTGCCCAACGCGCCTGTACCTATATAAATTTGTTTTCGATTTGTGACGTGCCAAGTAGATGAGCAGAATAGACCGTTGGCCGTCAAACTAACAAGCCGTAGCATACCTAACTACCTTTACTAACAAATCACAGGGTCATCCATCTCCGTGGGCCACGAGAACTGCCATTACTCAGCCCAGCATCAACTGTAGACATCGACGACGCAGCCGATGATAATGAACAAACCTACCAAACATACACAGTAATAACAATACAACACACTAATTCCAGCTAGCCTTGTATATAAATTACTACTAATCCTCCCCATCATGCACCACCTTCCTCGCATACCCCAACCCAACCTCACATTGATACCGCCTAAACTGCCTCGTCGGCACCTTCGCCGCAAACATCTCATCCAGCTCCTCAAAGCTCCTCCCCTTCGTCTCAGGCAGTTCAAAGAACAAAATCAACATTGTGACAGCTCCCATGCCCGCAAAGATCCACCCGATCAATCCCCCTAGATCCGCCTCGTCACTGTTATATAGGTACGGCATCGCCACGTTCCACACCGTCGAGAAGAAATAGTTAAATGTGAACCCGATGGCTAGTGACTTGGCGCGCAGTCGCACTGACGACACTTCACCTGCAACGGCCATTGCTGGGCCGATGGCGGGACCGTATACCCACCAGGAGAGTTCGAGGAAGATGCCGACCACCCTATACCTATGTTAGTATTCACTGCAATGAGAAGAGAATATATAGTGAGGGAGACTGACCATAACGCCGGACTGGAGTGTGGAAAACACCCTGCAATACCCATAACCGTGAACAGCGTCGTCGAGAGCCCAATGCCGAACATAACCAGTGCACGTCGCCCACACACTGTCATCACGTACCCCGTGATCAGCGAACTGGCGATTCCAAATGCAATGCCTATCTCCGTCATCATCCCCGTCTTGGCAGAGGACATGCCCGCCTGCACGAGAAAGTACGGTCCGTTAGTCATAAAGCTGGACCCGATGACCTGCGACAGAGCATTGCAGTAGAGGATGATCCGCGTGCGGCGCCAGTTGACTCCCTTGAAGCATTCCAGGAAGCTGGCCTCCTTGGCTGCTTCATTGCGTTGTTGCTCTTCTTCGTGTGTGCGGACTATGTCTGCCAGAATGAGCGGTGACTCCGACGCTGGGTTGCCCAGTCGGGATAGCATGCGGCCGGCCTTTTCGCGTTGCCCTTTCATGACGCAAAAGTATGGGGATTCGGGTATGAATGGAAGGAAAAGGAGGATGACACCGGGCCAGACCCAGCCGGAGGCGAAGAGGACCTGACTTCTTAGTTTATGAGGTTGGATTGAAGTATGAATCACGTACCTTGTATGCAGCATCGGTGGACATTGACATTCGCGGTAGAGCCACAGATGCGGCGATCAGATATCCCAGGTTCTACGAGATCCATTGTCAACATCACTGTCTCTCGCTACATGTCTAGAAGGAAAATACCATGCAAAAGGTGTACCCCGAAAGAGCAATACCTCGCACCTCAAGCGATGTAATCTCCGAAATATACGTCTGCCCCGTGGTCAAAGCGAGACCCAACGACAAGCCATTGACGATCTTCCCGGCGAGAAACGCGCCCGGTGTCGACGCCGTATACACGACTGCAATGCCAGCGGCAGATAAACATGCCGCGACGAGGAAGGCTGCTCGACGTCCGAATCTGTCCTGGATAGGACCCGCTGCTGTTGACCCAAGCATCGTTGCGACTTGGGAGAGGGCGTTCCACAGGGACTGCCAGTATGCGGGGATCACGTATGAGCCCTTCGTGAGGGTACCGAATGTTTGTCTGTTAAGACATCCCGTTAGCAACTGCCTAGATTCTTACCTATAGTATACCGGGGAATACTCACTCAAAAGCAGTCATGGACAGCGCCAGCGACAGAACCAGGTTATCGAACCCGTACATCAACGCGCCGATATTTCCATACAGACAGAAGAGAACCACGATAGGATTCGCTCGGAGTGCCTGCCATGTCGAACGGCCATGCTGGCTAGTTGGGTCGTGGATCCCCAGTGTTCCAGTGTCTGGTCGACGGACCTGCTGGTCCACCACCTCGAGATGGCTCGACTCCGACTTTTGGTCGGTGGACATAGTGGCATTCAATTACGGACTCTGCTGATGATCAAGTCCTGGGTGTGCTGCAGTTGATGAGGCCGGACATGTAATGAGGTGTGGGGGAAATATAGCTGATACCCATGCCCCATTAATGACCAGGGAAATGACCAGGGCCCTGGGCAGGGCGGGTCTACCCCATGGGGTACAACCTGGCAGCCTGGGAGGACTCGAAAGCAATCAGAACGTCTTCCGAGGAAGCGGAAATGCCGGACCCTCCTTGATGTCGGCAATTCCGGGCCTGGATCGACAGTTAGGGGGCAAGCTTTCCATGGAACAGAACGCTGATTTAGTGCATCTCCACGCGTTCTGCAGATCAGCTTGGGCCCGAGGTGGATGAACTTTCACAAGATTCAGGCTGGTATCCTCTTTTGGGGTAACTCGACCACTTATTGTCATTGTCGTATTCTAATCAAAGACATGGGCTCAGGATGTATGTACATTCTTATTCATTCATCTATCAGATGCATATACAGTTCTACTACGTACCACAACATCCCTACTCAGCAAAAGTGACAGACTCCCCAGGACCCAGCACCCTCTCAACTACCCGACCATCAACCACAATCTCCACATGAATCTTACTCGTCACCTCGACACTTAGCGGCTTCCCCGGGGCCCACTGCACCTTAATATTCCCCCGAGAGGTATGCAACAAACCATCAGCTGCAGCCACTAATTCCCTCCGGGGCTCGATACGGACCCGCTCAAAGCCTGGCTCGGCAGGCTTCACCCCGAACAGCTGCGTGACGATCTCGTTCACCGGACTGGCGCTCCACCCATGACAGTCACTGCGGGCGTTCACCTCATCCTCAGCCCATGTCGTCAGGTTATTGGCCATCATGGACCGCCATGGATCAAGCATGCTGGAAAATAGTTCGCTGTATATGCCTGTCTTTTCTGCTGCTCGGAAGACGTAGAATTTCATTGCGTATGAGCATTGTGCGAGGGAAGAGTCGGTCACGGTCTGTCTGAGGAGCTGCTTTGCAGCGTCTCCTGTTACTGTTTCGCTGAGGATGGCAAAGACCTGTGTGTGTTGGCTGTACTGCTCCACTCCGGGGCCGTCCAAGTATAACTGGGAGTTAGACGTGCAGCGCTGATTCACGGCACTCCGAATACTGTGCACCCGCGCCCGGTACTCCTCCGCCGTGCTTATCCGCCCGACAAACTCGCACAGCTCCGCCGCATGTAATAGGGCATACGCATACATCAAACTATTAACAGTGGCCGCACCCGCGGTATGGTACGCCGGAGGCATACACGACTTGAAGATCTGCCCCGGAACGAACCAATCCTGCACCCAGTCGACGAACGGCCACGTATCCGGGTCGAACTGGCCCACTAGCCCACGATCATCCAGGAGACCCTCAAAATGCTGGATGATGCTATCCACTGTGCTCAGGTACCTGCGCACTAATGTCCTATCCGCAAAGTACATCATGTGGTCATGGACCATCAGGATCCAGAATAACGAGAATTGCGGGATCTGCTTAGAAGCGAAGCCAGTCGGATACTGTGCCACAATCAGTCCGTCTGGTGTTCTGCTAGCGTGGAACTCCTCGAGAGTCTTGCGGGCGAGACGGTCATCGGGGGATAATTGGTAGGTGAACAGCATCTGTAGTCGAGAATCTGATGCGAATTGGTTCTGCTCGTAGAACGGGCAATCTTCGTATGTCTCGTGGCGGCAGTTCTGGAGTGTTCGGAGACTGATCTCCCAGATCTTGTTGAGCTCGGCACCAGCGTCGACTTTGGTGGTGATCTCTAGTGGATAGGATGTCTCTCTCAGGGAGATGTTCGTCAGTGTTATTGGATTGGCAGTTGTGGTTATTTCCAATTGCACGTAGCGAAAACACCGAAACCAGAATGTTTCGAATGAGTGCACGTCCTGTCCGGAGGTGGCAGTGTAAAAGTCCTTCACACCATACAGGCGACCACTCGCGTCCGATCGATTAGATTTGGTTCTAGGCATGGGAAACGGTGCTGCCTCCACTCCCAGGTCCTTCTCATAACATTCGGAATACAAGATACTGATCTCTGCGCCCGCTCCACCACTGAATCCGAAGCTGACGAACGCCGTCATCAGCGCCTCAACGCTGAGATCCACGGTAACCTGCGCGTTTGCTGGAATCACCACGGGCTGGTCCTCCCGAACCAGCGAATTCCACTCATTTTCACTCACGGAACCAGTGGCTTTGACTATTCCGTCGAACCTCCCTTCAATCTCCGGTAAATCCGGTATCGGACGCGGTGCCAGCTTCCACGGACTAACTATGGGAAGCATCTTCACAGCATTGGACTGGAATACCGCCTTATCCCACGTCGCGTCATCATATCCAGGCATTTGCCAACCGGTTATGGTTTGGTCCTCCTCGGCGCGCTCATTGTTTGACAGAAACGGCGGACCAAGCAGGTAATTCCATTCAGTCTGCGGAATAATCTTGACGGATCGTTGCTCGATGCACGTCCACGAGGGATCAGTAGAAATGGCGAGTTCGGGATGCGGAGAGTACAGCATGAACCCGGGCAGCGGCATGCTCACAATCGACGAGGAGCCCGGTACGAGGGTAGAATATCGTAGAACACGCGCACTGATTACATTTTCACCGTCGCGAAGGTATGGGCTGATATCCACTGTCTCGTAGTACCATTTTCCTGGATAGGACTTGCAGGGACCCCAGCTCACGCGGTGACCGTTGATGAAGAGGCGATAGCGGCTGTCAGCGGAGACGTGCACAGAGAGGTCTTGTAGGTTGTCTGATGGATGCCATTGAAAGGTTTTTCTGAAGAGGAAGAACCGGCCAGGGCGATTATCTTCTTCGAGATAGTGAGGTAGCCAGATCCAGGGGGCTGCGCGAGTCCAGTCGGGTGAAGCCATGGTGACGGTTAAGGACTAGATGACTGTCCTGCGTTCGATCTGACGACTGAATTTTCATTCACAGAGGACAGGGGAGCCCTCACATGCTGGAGTATAGCCATCCCGCCTGTTTGTTTTTCGAAGCCAAGCAAGAGTTGCTCCAAATCGGATATCCCGCTCGGTGGGGATTGCCCCGAATCCGATACCGGGTCAGTGCTTAGCCTAACCGTAATCTTGGTATGGACTGTGTAATGCGGGGAGAGCATCCTGTGACGTCACATGACACGTCGCGTCCTCGGAAGATCCGGTGGATTATGCAGAGAAGATGGAAGGGAAGCAAAGGAAGCTTCTATTACTGCTTGGGAGAGAGAGAAAAAAGAGAGGATGGAATCTGTAATAGGCATCTATTGAAGTATGGTGGAGTATTCTTTGCTTTCATCCCTTTGCGACGGTTGCCAACACATCAAGTGAATATATATAAGCCCTAAATATGGGGCAATGTTAGTGCAAGGAGGTTTGATGAAGTGAATACCGATACTTGGTATTCGTTCATTTCACAAGAATGAATATGTTACTAGAAATGAAAGCATACTATGATGACACGCTAAGTCGATAACTTAAAGATACTTTGATATGCAGCTATATTGAGAAACAGCGGGACCATCATGTCGGGTCGTAGGTATAGTAGACGATGAACCATCTGAGAATGAACTGCATACTATGCCAGCTGCAGTTTAGTCAGTCCATGACGAGGAAATGCTATCATGAACAAAAGTCTCACCTCTCGCCACCCCCGCGGTCGCCTGACAACCCTGGTTCCGGCAACCCATTCGCCCCTGCACCCTCTGCTTATAATAGCCACGGGACCCTGCACACACTCCCAACTACACTATATCTGTAACCACCAAAAGACAAATCCAACCACCCCACAAAATACTAAAACATCCATCATGCATCAAATGCTCATCGGTCGCTCCCGACCAGTCGTCGGCAACATCAGCCAGAGACTGCAGTCGGCGGGTACGCTGCTCCCTGTGCCATGAATGTTTCAATCTCAAGATCAGCAGCTGAATGCGTCAGACCCTACCCAACGACGACGACATATCATGCGGTCGGATACCTATCGCAAGGATAGCTCAGAACCAGGCCATATCCCCGTCAGCTCCTTACGCGTGCACGGCGCCGCCTGGGCCGTGGCTGGCGCCAGCATGTACGCTACCCTGCATGGGGTCTACATGATGCTCAAGTCCTTCCGGCAGATTCGCTACATCTAATCCTGTCATTTCCTTGAAGAATGGAACCTGTACATGTTTTGATTTGAGCGATATGCAATGATATGAGCTTGCCCATTCATCAACCAACTTTTGTAGGAGTAAATGGTATTCGAGAGGGTGGGGATCTACAGCGCTCTTGGAATGGACTCGAACTGGTAGATGTGTAGTGACTTGCACTCTTATATATCGGCAGAAGGAGCTGTTCGTCCACGCGTAGGAGAGCCGTGTGTCGCATCTGCTACGGTCTTTCATCGGACCAGCTTCAAAGGTTCATATGTATCATGCGGTTGATGATATGAGCTGATGGGATAGCTATGCCATGTAACGTAATAAACTCCATAGCACCGTAGACAACGAGGGCTGAACTTAAGGTCAATGACTGAAACTACCATATCATACTGGAGAGTAGCCCATCGCGAACAAATGCTCTGCGTACCTGCACCGTTGACTGCTGAAAAGGGTTTGTTGAGCTGACTTACGAAAAATCACGTCCGTGATAGCTGATATTAGTGACAAAAAGAGTAATGGATTGACATATCGCGTCACCAGGGACGAGTTTCAACTGTACCATCAATTGTATTGTCGAATAGGACGTCTCAGACAGAATGGGGAGTGAAGGACCCCTGAATTTCCACGCGTTGATCAAACCGACTTACCCCTGCATGGGTCCGCCAAAGTCGACCGGCTGATGATCAGTACAAAGACCCCATCAACTGCGCCTATGGTAAAGTAGTGGTAGCCTTGGGGCGAAAGTCCCGGAACATGTTTCAGTGAGGATGTGTCGCATATCCATCGCCTGTTCCGGGGTTGCAGCAAAGGATGGCCGAGATGTGACAGCGATTTGATAACTATTGCTGACAGTAGCGGCCGAAAAAAAATAATAACTGGACCATGAAGACAGCAGTGTTCTATTTGTTAGGACAATAACTGCTTTGCTAAGAATAGAGGCTGCGGAAGTTGATTGCCTAGGATGGAGAGGTCACTTTGTTCTGTTCTTTCTGTCAACAACATTGGTTGATAATACTTCCGAGGTATGTAGCTATGATGCAGATTGTTAATGTGAGAATGGGTCTACAATCGTGGCAGATAGACAGGCACATAAATTTCGATCGGGGATCAGGAGAATGAAAGTTTGTTGATGGGTGTTATAATAGGGCTCTTCCATGTCGTGACGTCATGGACCAGCTTCTCATGGAAAATTCACATGAAATGAACCACCAAAAGCACACAGCAACACAAGAAAATTCCCTATGAGTGCTTTCTGCCTTTCGATTAACCGTGGAAGGTTTCACCATCAGCCACTGCAACCTTGATCGGCACCAGTAGACTCACGGCGCCGCAACCCAACTCTGACCTGGAGCCATTCCTCAAACCTTCCTTTCCCCTTCTCCCCCCTTCAGACACCGAGCCCATGCAGACAATAACCAGCAATAACGCCATAGGCGGCCACCCAGACGTGTCGGCCCAGCAGCTGGCCGACATGATGCCTATCGGGTTGGCTGTCCTTGATCACCAGGACGGGTCCGTCTTCGTGAACAAACGCTTCTTGGAATTAACCACCTGCACCTCCGATCGTGCCTTTGAGTGCTGGTGCCAGTCCATCCATCCCGAGGACTTTGATCGCGTAGCAGCAGCATATCGAGAAGCCTCTCAGTCCTACCATGCCCTCCGCATCGAATACCGTACCCGGTTGCAACCGTGTCTATGGCGCGTGTGTTTGTTGACGCCACTGGAAGATGAGGAGGAGCGACAACGATTCAACCTGGGACCAGAAGGGGGCTTCGTTTGCACTATCACCGACATCACACAAGAGAAGACGGCGGAATTGACGCAGCGTCGCATTGCCCACGAGGCAGAGGGCCGCAAACAACAACAGGAGCGATTTATCGATATGATCAGTCACGAGGTGCGAAATCCGCTATCGGCCATCCTCCACTGCACTGAGGATATCCTGGAGGCTGTTCATTCCCCGGATTCAGGGGAGGAAATGCGGACGCAGATCGCTGAAGCAGCCGATACCATCAGTCTTTGCGTGGCGCACCAGAAGAAGATCATCGACGACGTACTAACCTACTCCAAATTGGATGCTGCCATGCTGACGCTATCTCCCCGACGCGTACAACCGCGCCGGAATGTAGCCACCGCGCTGGCCATGTTTCGTCCGGAGCTGCGTAAACATGATATTCAATTCTCCTACGAGCTGGACCATTCCTACGCAAACTTGGACATTGATTGGGTCATGGCGGATATGGATCGCATGAGCCAGGTCCTCATCAATCTGCTCTCTAACGCCATCAAGTTCACCGCCAATTCGGGCGACGACAAGCGCATCCGCGTCTCTATCGGTGCATCTACCCAACGGCCATCCTCCTATCCTCCGAACGTGGTATTTTTCGACTCCGGTGAGGAGGCACTTAAACTGGACGCGACATCACAACCTGAATGGGGGGCGGGAGAATACGCGTTTCTGATGGTGGCCGTGAAAGACAATGGCATTGGCATTGATGACGAAGCGCAGAAGAGATTGTTCGAGCGATTCAACCAAGCGACTCCACGCACCCAGACAATATACGGCGGATCGGGGTTAGGTCTGAATGTTAGTCGCAAGCTGTGCCATTTGCACGGCGGAGAGATCGGCGTGAGTTCTAAGGAGGGCGAGGGAAGTACGTTTGGATTCTTTTTCACGGTGCGACGCACTGCAGCGGGACCCGGGGAGGACCCTGCCAAGAGCAACGGAACCACAGAGATTGACCGGATGTGTAGCCAGATCCAGGCGATGGGCAACGAGATGAGTGGAGTGACCGAGCATCACGCCCGACCACGCATTTCCGAGAATCCCGCGGTCACTCACGTCCCAGAGATCTCGCGACACGCCAGCCGGGACAGTCGGCGGCTGCATACAGTGAAGATTGCCAGCGAAGCCTCCTCCCCGGCGTCGAGAGGTTCACCTGTGTCAGAGGACGAGGATCATCAGGTCCCCGAAAAGCCGAGAAGTGAACCGCGGTCACACCCGCGCGAACGGCGCATTTTGTTAGTGGAAGACAACGTCATTAACAAGCGCATCCTCTCGCGCAAGCTTCAGACCTCCGGCTTTCAGGTCAGCGAAGCGAGTAATGGCCAGGAGGCGGTAGATGCGGTCCAGCAGCAGGGGAGTTTTGACTGTGTACTGATGGATCAGGTCATGCCCATCATGGACGGCACAACGGCTTCCCGGGCCATTCGCCAGTTGGATGGTCCCATGGCGCAGGTCCCAATTCTCGGGGTTACAGCCAATGTACGGACGGCTCAGAAGGATGAGATGCTGGCGGCGGGGATGAACGACATTATCTACAAGCCGTATAAGATGCCGGATTTGATCGAGCGGATCAAACAGCTGCAGCAGAAGGGTCATGAATGACCCGATGGGCCATCCGTGGAACCACGCCGTATACCGCTGGCGGGTGGTATAGGATCATACGTCTTTGGAAGAAATTGGCCTATGGACACCCTGCGAGAGGCTATGGGAACCAACCAATCAACGATCGTGACGAGGGTCATCTCATAATGCGTTCTCACCCAGAGTTGTACATTGCGTCGTGGCGGTGGGCCTTCGGAAGATTCTTCACTTGCAAGGATAGCATCCAGAAATTACCGCATTTTGCGCCTTCATTGGACAAATCATGTCAATAGCCTCGATCGAGACACAAGCGATGAATATGCGGCACATCTTGAGTGGACAGACGGTGGGCAGAGTGACACTTAATACTCCTGGTCCCTGAGTGCGGGAAGGGAGAAAGCCGACGCCGTCACAGAGACGGTTGCACTCGGTGTCACGAAAGAGATCTTCCGGTGCTGATCTTGGACGCTGGTTTTGCAGAGCGACAAGAGCCAGATGACTGCTTTGTTATCGTTGCTCGGCGCGTCATCATCATATTGTGGAAGAATAAGCAACCAGGCCGGGTTGCTAGTTGCGAAGTTGGTACTTTCCGTTATAACTTCGAATCATGAATGACACTCGGGCTCAATGAATCGGTGCGCTGTCAATGTAACCTTACCTTAGTATCATCAATCCAAGTATGGGTACATGACGAGCATAACCACCGAAGGTTTCACTCCGGACTCCGACGAGGATCGACACCTCCCAGCTCAAATTTAAGTTGAAGGTACAACCTGGATATCAAGAGCAGTTGGATAGGTCATAATTCGTTGATCTGTCATCCGAATGAATCGAGAGTTCGCTTGCCAGAAGCCAGTGGAACTAGAAAAACACCAACTCACGCATCAACCCTTGGACGAGCGAACCTTATTCCAGCGTGAGATAACCTGGCTGGTTCTCTGCAGCGTAAGTCCAGCGCGAAGCCAATGCGGACCATTGTGAAGTACTCTACACTTCAAGCATCCTGTGCTGAAGAAGGAACAACGACCACGCCATGGAGAAAGTGAAGTATCGTTGTCGAACTGTCCACCCTCTTACTTGCAATGCTATGGTCTTCACCGGACTTATCGTGGACGCGCATCTAGATGAAATAGTGTTGAGGCAGACGGCAGCTCATCTGGTAAGAGCGTGGCCCGCTCTGGGAGGACAGCTTTACAGGTCGGTCAGTGATTAGTATCCATCATTGAGCCCCGGGCGCAATGGCGATTTTCTGAACTGTGAGACAGGGCCGCCCATATGCACTTTCCACTGGCTCGACTGTCGACTTTGCAAGTCGGACGCTTCCCAAAAGTGCAGCATCCTGGAAACAAGGCGTGCTCCAGTCTAGAGAATGCAACCAACCAACGATTATTAACGCCCTCGACCCTGAAAAACTGGATGTTGCTTTCATCTTCAATGTACCTGCCAGACCTGCGAATGTCTTCCTCATCCGCGTCACGCTTCTCCAGGACGCCACCCTACTTTGCTTTGGCATCAGCCATCATCTGGCCGACGGCACTGCCGCCTACGACGTAATTCGGGCCTATTGTGACCTGCTCGCGGGTCGGCCTATCACATCTCCGCTGCTACCACCCGATGCTTGTGGTCACCGAATGTCCGACCGAGTGATACTCAACGACGCGCAGGAAAGGTTGGTTCGATCCATAACCTATGCAGAGCATCTGTCCAACTTCACCATTGGGTTCTGGCCGATTCTACTACTGATGGTGAGAGTGGTCTGGTGTCTACTGCTGCGCAAGCTATGTCTGCAGGAAACCTTGGAGGAACGGTACATTTACCTGCCGGATAACTGGGTAGGCGCCATGCACAAACGAGCACTCGCTGCTTTCGCAGCAACGCCTGTGGGTGCCCAGCCGACCAGGAACAACGTCATCAATGCATGGTTTCTCAAAACGGTCTATGGTCCCCTCCCGAGCAGTCGAGCTGAGATGTATTTCTATGGTCCGCTCAGCTATCGGCATGTGGTTGAACCTCCCCAGCCAGGGACCTACTGGATTCATAACAGCATTGGGCTATTGCGGCACAAGCTGTCAGTGTCTCAGATCCAGAATGAGCCCGTAGCCATGTTAGCGGGCCGACTCCGTTTGGCCAGCTTGCGATACACCTCTCCGGCGTCCATCAAGGCATTCCTGCGCATGTGCGAGGATCATGCGTCGCAATGGATGTTGCCGAAAATTTCCGCGAAGGGAAGGATGCCGATGGTTATGATCACCACGTGGACAAGTTTCGATTTCTCAAGCCTGGACTTTTCTGGAGCCGCATATGATCAGAGCAAACCGGTCAGAGTTCTCTTCGTGCACCCCCTTGTTCGGAGCCTACGACAGGGAGTGTGGCCATCGGCATATACGCTGAAATGTGCGCAGGAAGGTGGGTACTGGCTGCGAGCCTGGAACACTCCATCGGGATGGAAGGAATCCAGTCTGATGGTGGATGTCGATGCTCTATGATATTTCAGCCTGATGAGATTCATGTTAGGTAGAAAGCTATTCCCCCTAGAGATCCATACTTGGGTGTAATATACCTCTTCAGAAATGAAATGATATGTTATTGTGGGACTACTTAGTAGTAACTTTAACTCCCCCTATATATTTCCGATCTATGCCCTGCGATACAGTCAGTAGGATATAATCTTGATCTGTCCGCAGAGCATGAAATTTCTTTCTCAATGGTGACATTCGATGGCCGATCGCGGGAGCGAGCACTAGCCGCCGACCGAGGGAATATCAGACGAGGATTCTTGGTACGAGTCTGCACCATAATGCCAGTCGATCGACACCTCCGTTGGACTACTATCATTTGCTCCCAGTGGGGTTGTCTTCTCCGCAGGGCCATTCAACCCCAATCGGGAAATGATTCTCGCTGCGTGGAGTGAACAAACATTCCGTGGCGGACTACATTCCCCCGAGAGCAATCTATGAGACACAAACACACGGCATGTAGTTGACAGGTGAAATTTGATCAATTGTACATATGCTAAACGATGAACAACACTCTTCTCTACTAAAATTGCAACAAACCATGACATCAACAGAATCTACAGCGAGGAACCCGCCGGTGGCCGCTTGCTGGGGAACCCGCCATTGGGGTGAATAATAACCTTGGTATAACCGTCCACGCGCTTGTCGAATTTGTCATATGCCGTCTCGGCCTCTTCAATTCCAATCTCGTGAGACACCACGAAGCTGGGGCGCGCCTTGCCGGCAATGATCAGGTCTCGTAGCTGCCGGTTATAGGCCTTCACGTTACACTGGCCCGTGCCGAGGGAGAGTCCCTGCTCACAATGTCAGCATCAGTGCATCCTATGCCAGAAGAGCAGGCGTCTACTATACCTTCTCGAAGAGCTTGCCAAAACTGAGGCTAATCATACCCTTCGCAGCCGACGCATCACCCGCACCGGGGTCACTGGTCAGTCGTCAGCCAACATACTCCGTCGTAGTGCGATGCTGAGGTGACAAACCTAGGAACGTAGAGTCCAGGAATACCAAGTCCACCACACGCGCGAGTGACACGAATCATGTTTTCAAGCACAATGTTCGGTTGCTCGGTCGAGTTATCTTTACCGACAGCTTGGTATCCCACAGCATCCACGGACCTATCCACCATGTCTCCGTTGTGTGCAATGATTTGATCGACGGCATCGCCCGCGGTAAAATCAATGGGGGTGGCACCGATCCGTTCCGCTGCCCTCAATCGTTCGGGAACCCGATCTACCACGTACACGCGAGATGCGCCGCGCAGCTGGGCGGAGTATGCTGCCATGAGTCCAACGGGGCCGGCCCCGAAGACTGCTACGCTGTCACCTGGCTGAAACCCCGATATTTCAATGCCATGCCATCCTACTCGTATTAGCGGACGTAGTCTTGGGGATTAAACTGGGTTCGTGCGGGAGTATACCTGTGGGGAAAATATCTGGTGTGCCCATTAGTTAACCGATCACCCAAGAGTGAGAGCATCGACTGCCTACCTGCCAGCAGAATAAAGTCCGCTTCGTGTTCGGTTCCTGGTGGGAGCTTCAGGGCATTGAAATCAGCGTAGGGGACGCGCAGGTACTGTGCCTGGCCTGATGGTTCATTCGGTTAGCATGAATCTGTCTAACAGTAAGGGTCATACAGACCTCCACGGTAGGGTCCCATAGCCACGTATCCTGTGGGATTCGATGTCAACGCGAAGACACGCACAGCGCTCACTCAGAAGAGACGAACCGTATGCGCCACCAGCAAAGCCAGGATTCACACCCGTGCAAAACGCTGTCTTCCCTTCCTCACAGTTCCGACAACGACCATCCGCAACGTTGAATGGCATGACCACACGGTCGCCCTTCTTCAGTAGGGTGACTCCTTCCCCGAGTTCTTCGACAAGACCGAGATTCTCGTGTCCTAGATTGTTCCATCCACGTCAGAATGGGCAGAGATGCGAGAGTAGGGTTAATGGTACCAAAAGTGATGCCTGGCTCTGCCGCCGTCCTTCCTTCATACATGCTGGGGATGTGTGAGCAACATCTGTGTACGAACTCTCTTCTACCCTACTCCCCAATTGCACTCACTGCAGATCAGAACCACAGATGGCTGCCTGTTATGGCTGTCAGTAACTGGGCGGAAATCGTGCTAGTCTACACAACATACACTGGTAACCTTGACGATAATGTCATCGGGGTGCTCCAGCTTGGGCCGCTCCACCTCCTGCACCTTGACCGTGAATGGCCCGACATAGTTCAATGCCTTCATGGATTGGACTGCCATTTTTGCTCAGATTGATGAAACAAATCCGTCAAAGACAATAGTAATTGCAGTGATGTTTGCTAAATGCCGGCCATTCTACATATTTATGGGGGGTATAAATCAATCGAGGAGTGGGGTGAGGGGAACGACATGAGGAGTGGGGGGAAAAGGTGGGGGAGGGGTGAGACGTAAAGACCAGCGGACCGCGTCTGGCTTGTCGATGCCGACCGGGTGCGGAACAGAATTCCCAGGCCGAACATTGAACCGGCTTTAGATGGCCAGAGCAAGTTGATTTTGTGATCCATGATGCTGTAGCCGTCCTTCTCTGGGCAACCGGGAAGGAAATGGCCGTAGTAGGAGAACTCCTCCGCGGGCACATTTTTGACGCTAACCCGGAGGGGACTAGTCGCTCGGCCATCAATTGGGGAAAGTGGAGCGGCCATGGCGGGTTAAATTCCCCGATCGGTGATATCTCCTGCTGGGAAAGCATCAAAGGAATTCAGAGTCACTCCCCAAGGGCAGATCACGATGGCGACATCTGCGGAGTCCTCCGAATTATGGCCTTTAGTGATAGAGCAAAGCGTCAAGGATCGGCTCTTTGTCATCCACATCCACCCGATTTATAGCCCCGCTATCTCCTCGCAGCCTGCCAGACAAGCTCGTAGCAAGCAAGCAAGCAATTGTTGCGTGCGTGCCCTTCAGGAGACCAGCCAAATCCCTAAGGAGCTTGCACCTTCGTAATCCTTAGTCATGGTTGTTATCTCGCGTTTCAGGTCCCTCTGGGGCATTGATCCCGGTCCGGAGCAGTCGGAATGGAGAAAGAAGTTGGTTGAGTTCAAGGCTCACGGCTACGGTAAGCTAGCGCCTGCACTGCAATTCCCCCAAAGGCTAAACTAACGACTTATCCTAACAGCTGGAATCGAGATTGATTTTGCTTTTATGACACCCGAGGAACTGCAGCTTCTCCGCAAGAACTGTGATGAGGTGGGCCTGGAAATTAGCATTCTGTCAGTATCTCGACTATAATGTAGTAGCTGCCCATTGGAACGGCAATTGAGCTGATTGCTTTGCAGCCTCTTCTCCGCATGGCCAAAATATGTCGGCCCCCGCCCTCGTGGCTTGACCCCAGATGCTCACCTCGAGTTCTACCGAGGACAACTTCGACTAGCGACCATCTTGAAGCCAGTGGTTATCAATGCACAATCCGGAGCGTACGTCCCCTCCACTCCGGGTATACCACGATGAAGATGTTGACTCGCTATCTTCCTCAGAGACTACTGGAGCTTTGATGAATCTGTCTACTTCTACCAAAGAGCTCTTCAGGTAGAAAAGGAAGAGGGTTTCGAGGGCATAGTCTGCCACGAAACGCACCGAAACAGATCTCTCTTCAACCCTTATTCGGCCGACTACATTCTACAGAGAGTTCCAGAGTACGTAAATCTGGTTATGGGTCATTCCCAGTCCGATACTGATTACGCAGGTTACGTATCACTGCCGACATCTCACATTGGGTGGTCGTCTGCGAAAGACTCCTAGATCAAGGCGAAGAAGACCGGGAGATCCTCGACCGTGTGATCCCACGTGTAAGCATGCCCCTCGTTTGAATAGAAGCAGTACAGAATCAATGATTGACATATCTATTAGGTCGGCCATATCCATGCACGTATGGGAACACAGCAGTCGTCACAGTGCCCAGAGCCTCTAAACCCTGCATTTGCTCCCGAGCGGCAATTCTTTGAGGAACTGTGGCTCCGAATTCTCAAATCAAGACAGCAAAGTGATCCTAACTGCCGGATCACATGGGTTCCGGAGTACGGGTGAGTAGCGATTAATCCGTGGTCGTTGAGCATCCTAACATTGTACACAGTCCATTCCCATATCATCCAATCGGAACTGCTCACACCTACGAGGAGCTGGCGGACAGTGAAGGGAAACGACTGCAAGCACTGTTTGAGTCGGCTGTTGCGCAGTCATAGTATGTGATGATCATTTAGTCGGGGACATAGATACTCCTGGGATAGACAGCAATTAGACTACGGCTGTGTACTGATCCCAGGCCTCTGCAGTTAAACTAGTAGATCACTATATACTACTGTTCTAAGAAGACAAATGTGCTATGAATGATAACCTGCGTTAACTTCGCTCACTGGTGCATATATGATACGGTGTTGTTTGGGATTGTGGTAATGGCTTTGCTTTTCTTATTTCTTGCACCCTGATGTTGGTTGCCTTTCAATGACTGGAGCAACATACTCAATCCTAGAAGGCACTGAGAACATCTAGTAGAGGATGAATCTTCTTCCTTCTAATACATCTCAAACGAGATATGACTAGATGTAAAAATATTTTCTTCAGAGAGCTCAGGCCATCCAAAATGGGTAGCCGAGCGCCACGCAAGCTAATGCAGTGAGGTAGTGAGTATAAAGTACTTAATATTCAACGCCTTCTGTTCATTTCGGATAACAAAGAATTCATAGCTCCTCGACTAGAGTGATCGTTGGATTATCCCAAACGAACTCCCGCAGCTCGAACTTGGTTTCATGGGTGCAGGATCTGATATCTCAGTCATCCATTAGACCCAATATCCTGGAAATATCTGATGATAGCGCCGTCGTTGACGTTGACGTTTGGAAGGACGAACTGAAATAATAAGGACAAGAAGTTTCTTCTGCTAACAAGAGGCCTTCTTTATAAAAAATGGAATCCCTGCTACTATTATGCATGGAACTCCAAACCGACCCTCGCATAGCGGAGTGCCCTACAAACCGGCCAGAGGAAGGAATGCACCTCGAGTGGTAACTACGTCTGTTCAGTGATTAACAGACCAATCAGCCTAATGGACACGGAGAAGATCATGTAGCCGTGTCTGCAGGATGTCTACTAGTTAGCCAGTAGCGTTAAAGCTGTGTTACATAAATCACTAAACAGTGGGGTTGGGAGAGTTCATTGGCCAAAATGCTAGTGGGAATAAGCAATGGAGGTCTCAACGATATGCAGGCCAACAGCTACTTCGCGGTGGTCCAGGCGTCTGGAATGCCGTTGACACGCGTACAGATCCTTCAGTATCTATTGAGGTTTTATCACGTCTTCTTGCTCAGGCGTATGACTTCCTCCTTATTTGCTTTATCAATCATCGGTGGCTCCATAGTGTCAGATGTATGAGGTGTGAGTAGGAGAGGTAACCTTACTGCTACAAAGAATCACGGAGGCATTTTTCTATTGATATTGAATCAATTTATACATAATCTTCACTCCGGCTCGTATTCCCTGGCGCTGTGGGCAAGCAAGGTAACCCCTAATGATTCCGATGGATCTTCAACTCCTGCATTTAGAGAGGTGTCGAGCGCAATTGAAAGAATCTATAGTCTAACTCACAAATGGCCCACAGATGCATAGAGGATACACAAACATCTGCGTCGTAGCTCACAGCGGTTTTTGAACCACGAGGAAACCAAGCATGAAAAGCGGGGCAACGATCCTGTCACGTCGCTTTTCACCGGCAATCATTACAACTTTGAGAGGGAAGGTCTGAAGTCCGCTCGAAAGGTTACATGCCGAGTGATCCGGTAAAAGATACGCTTTTTGCCTTAGAAACTTTCAAAGCAAGACTTCCAGTCAAAAGGTAGGGAAAGGGTAATTAACGATGCCCGATCTTCCTATTCTGCAGCCACACTATGAGCTTAGTGCAGAATGCACGACGCCCCGATAGAGCTACAAAACATCAAGCATTCGTGAATGCAAACTCGCGCAGCCGACAGGAACGACGATCTACTTCGAAGAGGTCTTGTTATGACAAGAATGATGGCCCATGGTCGTTACCTCCGAGATCCCGTATGAATTGAGATTTGGGGATCGTTTTTCGGTAGACCCCGAGTCTGGGCATAGCGGCTATAGTTGGCTCAAGCTAAAGCACAGGATCGAGAGGGGGGATCGGCGTTCCATAGCATTATAAGCTGTATCCGCTAGACTGTATACAGCGCAGAGACCTACGTGACCTTCACACTTCAGAATTCCCATCAAATTTGTAATTCACATTGCTAATCTTGACAATTAGTTCTCTGCGGGACGCCACCGAGCAAAACCTGTGACCAGGTGCTCCTGTTTTGCTGCTCTGAAAGGGATACTCCGAGCCGATGCATTGCCTCCGCACAATACCTGCAGGCGAATAACTAGTGCGCAATTGAATATGGGCCGAATGGCTGATGCATTGATTCTCCAGACGCTAGCAGGGCTGGTTGGGCTGGACAGGTGAGCTTTTATTCATGCACGCGTTCATGATGTGATCGGAGATCGCAGCATGCTGTGAGTTTGGGGGGACATGGAGACCGACATTTTCACCATTTTGGGAAGGCGACCTTCAAAGCTACAATACTTCATGGCCCCATCACTTTGGTTATGATGAGACCGAGAAATTCGATGAGAATTATTTTTTCCATAGAAAACAAGAGCCAGCATGGACAGAAACAGAACATGACAGCTAAAAAATGTTTCAGCGCTCTGGGGTGATGATCAGCGGCGGTTAGATCCGCGAGATCTGCAATTAGAGTGGAAACTGTAAGGATCCTAAAAACCCTAATACTAATCCGAGAGACATGCCCCGGTCAGCACTATTACATACAAACTGCAATATTCAGAGGTCAGGCATATTAGGCGCAAATCTTCTAGTTATAAATTGTGACGCAACTCCGCTCATCGTTTGATTCCGCCAGATCAATCAATCCCTCATCACAACACCGCCTTGTCCATTACCTTCACCATGCGATTTCGACAACCGCCCTTGTGGCTGCAAGCGTTGCTCTATATTCACCTACCCTGGCCCAAGAATTGTCCGGCCAGGGGTACATTCAGGTGGCCTCTGAAAATGGAGTGGAGTATCTTGGATGCCTCACCAATAGTGGTCAGTGGGACGTTTCTGCCTGTGCCGGGGTCATAGCCCGTGGAGGGGGTCAGCTGGTTACCCAACAGGGAAACTACTACACTCTCACCGAAGCGTTAGACATCGCTGTGACTCCGGACGCTGGAGATGCCAAATACTGGTCTAGCACGGGCTACAATTCTCTTGTAAGTACATGGGTAATTTACACAACAGGGCTTGGATACTAATAATGTCCCGTACAGGGCGAGCCAAGCAAACTTGAGGCCGATGGTGGTGTTGAACACAATGGGGGCGGAGGCCCGTACTGGTATGCGGCCGCTGAGCCTACCCAAGGCGCCGCCGTTACCCTGAGTGCGGAAGAATCGGATGGGGCTCAGCGTGTAGTTCTCGTCTGGAAGTCCAATTATTAGAGAATTTTCTCAGGGGGCTCGTATATCGAGTCTATTCTATTTTTCTATCTGCAAAAGCTAGTCAGAGAAAGTTGGCAGACCTGTTTCAGATTCTGGCAGAGTTGAGGCGGAATGCGAAATAGCCCCTCATTATGGCTTCTTTCATGTCTATGTGTAGTCGACCCTCCAGTTGCCGGTGTCAGCTTAACCCTGTTTTGTACAAAGCATGTCAGACCTACCATTCTATATGCTAAATATACGCTGCAATGTGAATGGTTGGTCAAACAAAATGAACCTGTGTTGCCTTTCAGATTAGTGGCCAGATGCGTTGATTACTTGGCTCAAAGGAATGTCTAATGTGAATGAGCTTCTTAATCAAGAAAGTCAAGTGTCTTAGCATGTCTTTGTATTCAATATATATCATCGTCTACGTAGATTGCCATAAGTAGTTCTCCTGGGAAAGCTGTGTCCTCGTTGGGTAACGTAACACTTTTCAATAGGGGAACACTTCTGACCCAAGGTCATAAAGATGAGTAGTATCTTGAATTGGGTAAGAAACCAAAAAACAACCAAAGCCGATGAGTACCAGGGTGACTTGTTACGCAGGTCTCGCGTAGCTGGATGACCCACCTTTTTAGTACGGAGTCTTGCGGATTCATCTTATCTTCGGCCTATCGGAAGCCCTCGTATTTTCCGGCTGTATGGTAGAGGTACCAAACCTTCTCCAGACAATAAAGCCTACGATAACTGCAGATCTTGGCTTCGGATCTAAGTAGCAAGATGTAAAAGTCTTTGATATATTATCTCTTGGCTTGATTACTTTACTTTCAGATTTTGTTTCCCCTTATTCCGGATTCAAGGATATTTAATCGAACCTCTGTACTTCACGGGTTTACGTAAAAGAATCAGCCAGTGGGGACATCGCAAACATCGCGCCTTTTAGCAAGAATAGAAGGGCGAGGAATACGAGGAGGCTTGCTTGGCAATAGATCGGAGATAGTAACAGTCGAAGGAGTAGACTTCCAGAATAGGAATATGGATCTGATAAGATCTAGCTGAGTGGTGAAAGACGCATCAGCCCTGTCTTGGCACCCGGTCCTACGATGTAGGAGCTTGTAAAGATAGATATGGCCTCCTCTATCCAACCGCAACTATAAAGTCGCGATGCTTCCCTGCATCATGGCAGACCAACACATCATCTACTTACACCTCAACGAACATTGAGACCCAAAACACCGAATCTCATTCAATATGCAGTTCAAGGTTAATAACATCCTTTCCCTCCGATGTCCGATAATCCAGTCTGACCATGCCAGATCCTTGCGCTTTCCGCTTTTGTGGCCACTGCTGCTGCCACCATTGACGTCGCCTTCAGCGGCTACTACTATGCCGACTGCGTCTCCCCCAGCATTGAGGCCGCCAACGTCATCTCTGGTGCCTGTGGGCCTGCCAACGGCCTCCCTCTCAAATCTTTCTCCGCGCGCATCTACTCCGGCTCCTGCGATGCTGGCACATCGCCTATCTTGAAGATGTACACCTCCACGGGCTGCACCGATGAGTCATTGTACGGCGAATACAACATCACCAGTGATACTCAATGCTTCGCGGTGGATGCAACATTCCTGAGCAATGAGGTTGTTTGTGAGTAATGGGATTATAGTGAGCAAGATGCTCTCTTGAATGTATATACTTTTCCAATCAAAGTACGAAGTTGAAAGTTCTATGCACCCTCCGCCACGACGAGGACGTCTGCCAAGTCCAGTCTGACTGTGAAGGACGATGTGGTAGTCTACGTAATGTGAATGTGGAGTTAGTTTATTGACTCGAGTAGGAGACCGATAGGCCGTAGCTCTATGAAGGGGTGCAATTAATCCACCATATGGAACGGGAAGAAGTAGCTTCTCAATAAAGTTCAAATGAGGTGATTAAATACGAGGCAGTTATGAAGGCATGAATGTCTATTTCACGCGAAATCAATGGGATCGGGTGAGCATTCCATGGCAGCGTGTTCATGACTATTATCCATTGAGTTCAGAACGAGTCATAAGCAGAAGAAGTGATACCATGGGAATTATTGGGCGTAAAGAACATACTGAAAGCCTATGAAATCGTAATCTACAATACTGATTTCGTATTACTGGATGTCATGCTGTCTTTAAACTGTTAAGCAAGATATTGTACATTGGCTAGCAACAATAGATTCCACATACGTGTTAG